ATATATATGTTACAGACATTTGTCTCTCTCATATAAAAAAAAAATTGATCTTTTCAGTCTGGAAATTAGTTTTTGCTTTTTACAAAAAACGAGATTCGTAATGAGAAAAGAATCCTCGGCGAGACAAATACACGGAAAAGACATTTAACGTTGTGAATAATCTATCTGTACGATTGTCACGGATGCAAAAGTCGATCCTGATATGCAAAATTCTCACTTAAAAGCGGAAAGAAGTCAAGAGGAATTTTCTCCGTTTCACTTTGATTCGACTTTTCTTCTTTCAAACCGATTCTTCTTTATTGAGAACTTTTGTCGATACACGCGTATATAAGATGATACGAATCGACGTTCTGTTCGATGCATTAAGAAAATTTTTCGCGAAGCTAATTTTGTATTACGGATTACGTCATCGATCTGCGCGCGCGCGGTTTACGGGAGAATAACTTGATTAACATAACATATCTTAAATTGGCCACAAATTCGCGTTTTTAGAGCAGCAAGAATTTAATAATACTTTTATATGCATCACCACACATAGCCGGATTATTTTTTTCACACATTATCGTTTCTCTTCGCGCTTTTGCAAATTGCATTACGTTACGGCGAAAACCAGTATAGCCGGCAACTGCATTACGGTATAACCAGTTGCTTCCAGTCGACGTTCTATTTGCTCGTAGTCGGTCAGATGTGCTCAGATGTGTAGACCGGGATTCGCTATCCATATCTGACGTCCGACGAAATTGTAAACTGTAGAATGGAATACACGATTACGTTTCACATCGATCCAAATCTCTGCCGGCAGTTCGGTGAAGTAGAAGCGAAATATCAACATATCTGAACGCGCGCAGTATATTCTATTCTGGAATTCATTCAACTGTATTTCCATTCCAATCTTCAGTGCGTGTTTACGTATTACAGATTGCGCAATCATTATTACCGTTAATTTAATTGCGCGGAACAATGAGGACATCGATTATATGCAAATAAACATCAAATAAACGTCAACGCCTTGTGTCGATCAAATTATAAAATAACTCCAAACGGAAAATCATGATGATGAATTTATGCGAAGTATAAAATGGCGATATGCTAAAACTCTGTCGTTGCCGGACATAACCGAAGACGATATCTCCATTTATAATTCATTTCCTGAGAAAATCTGAAAGTAAAATCTGAAGAGTGATTGACTCGTAAGCAATCCACTGCTTTTTTAATTGGTCCTACATCGAGTAACTGGAATATCTGTTTGAACAATCTCTGATAGTTAAAAATCGATGAATTTCTCATGAAAGCAAAGACGCGATGTCATCGTTCTCCCGCTCCAAAGATCACTTATCTTGTGGATGATGAACACGCAACGACATCCTCGTAGGTGCGCAATATCGCGCGCGTATATAACGCGTATATACGCACGAGAATAACGACGAAGAGTGTCGTTGAGTGTCTTGCCTTTTTTTTTTTATTACTAGTTGGAACGAGCGCGTACGTGGCGTAATTGCGAATGTGAGTACGTGTGCGTGAAATTGCGAGAGTTTTCTCGCACGAGGACTCGGAGTATATTCTAAGGAAAATGCAAATACCGCTTGGAAGTTTGGCCAAAGGGAATCACGCGTGTCAATCCGTGTGCGCGTCCGCGCCGCTGTGTGTGTGCGTCTGTATATATGTGTACCATGCATGCACACCTCGGGACAGGCATCCCCCACATCTGTTTGTATTCCTCAGTCGGATGCCTGTGAGGAAATTGCGGCGTCTTCGGCGAAATCCACGACGCCGTCACCGCGATTTCCGGCACCAACTCCGTCCCTCCCCGCCGTTCTCCATCTCCCTCGCCTATTAAGATCCCGATCCGTCGATTGATGTTCCAGGTCGGTTGGGTGAAGGCGGACACGAAGGCGATCCAGGCGATACACGACCACGTGATCACGCACAACCAGAGAGTGTCCGTGTCTCATAGCGACCATACTATGTGGAACCTTCACATCAAGGGCGTCCAGAAAGAGGACGGCGGCCTTTACATGTGTCAGATCAATACGGATCCCATGAAGAGTCAGGTATATATCTCACTAAGCTCCCTTAGATTGATACGGGTCAATATATGCGGAGTGATCATCAGTTCGCATGCATATTTCAATGAAGTCCCGAATAACTCGAGCGATCGATGGTTTCCTTACTCCGGAATAACGCGTCCCAATTAATCATCAATCTATTTTCCCTTGTAGATGTGATTAAAAGCGCTCGTTTTAGATTGTTCAACGTGACATTATATCGATCTACTCGTGAGTTACTGACTGCCGCGACGTATTGCGTAAATCAACCAGTGCGAAACTTTTTCCAGCGCCACGTGCCTCAATTACGAACTTTCTGCCATTCGTTTGAATCGGGAACGGCGTCCATTTCGGGTGTTTTTAGCCGCGTCCTACACTCGTCGCTATTAATACCGACCAACGGGTAAATCTAACGAGGCGCAAGTTTCGCGAGCGATCGCGAGGCATGCAAGAGCGACGACACCGCGGCAATGGCGGTGGAAGTATCGTTAGGAAGTTCTCCCCCCGAGAGAACGCTTCTAATAGCAGTTCGGCGCCGTTTTAGAAACGCGCAAAGCCGCGGAAGGAACGCGTGGAATTTACTTAGGCGCGGAAACGGTGGTCTATTTGCCGCTCCGAGCATTTTCGGTAGTTACGCTCCTCCTTCGTTCATCTAACCAAAATGGTTAGATTGGTTTCTTTAAAATTCCCCGAGAGAAAAGTACAGATTTATTAAATGGTGAATTGCAAAACTGTGAATGTAAAATATAACAAATAGAGAGGGAGAATTTATCACACATTTTTTTTTACCTTCCAACAATCCGTAAAATATTTTAAATAAAATAACAGTTTAACTCAAAGTAGTTTGAGTTATTTATATTTCTACTTTTTGTACATTCACTGTTTTCTATTAATCCTGATCCCGATACTTCACCTCGTTGTAAGCTTGGATACATATAATCCTTGTTTGAAATTAACCGTGGTAAACCAACAAACTCGGTGAAATAACTAATTGGGATGACCCTATCGACTGTAGGTCGATAAAGCATGGAGACAGGTTTGTCAGTGAACGAAAGGTCACATGATTTCGATGAGATAAATTTGTCTCTCACATTATGTATGTTTTATTACATATTTTATCTAATATAATATTATATACATATGTTATATAAATATGTTACGAAAATTTCATTTAGCGCATTTGAGCATAATCCATATCATAAATAGACTAAATTACGATAATCCTATTACTGCATTAAGTTTTAGCATAAATATAATAGATTTATTTTAATTTCTATATAAAAAATGTACAGAGTCCGATAAAAACAATGTATTCGATATAAATATATAAATTTTTATTTAATAATAGTGACGACGTAAAATAAAACCAGTTTTAAAGTAATATATCATAAAATATTGCTGGAATACATATATTATCAATTAAAATATGTGGTATAAAACAATGTTAATATTTTCATGCGTAAATAAATATTCTATATTGCTCTATGATAATCGATTTTAAAGGAACACGACTTTTCGTGCCTGAATTTAACTCCGCGAAGGATAACCGTTTTCCAATAGAGATTTAGTTCATAAAGTAACCAGTGAATGTGAATCGTATCTTTAACACTTTCCATGCATTTTTCAGAATAATCTATGAAAGAAAAATTGTTCCACACATCATAAATGATCCCTCAATCAAGCAAAAGTGATAAAATTTTTATAAAAGTTCTGTATAAAGATATGCAGAATATTTGTCTACACACTTTCGTTTACTTATACATTTTGATTAGTTAAAATTGATCTTTTGTTGATTGAGAAGTTCGAAGAACATTTCTCAATTTTTTAACAACAAATCTTAAATATTTTTATAATTAAAGTATATAAGTGAAACAGAAGTGTATTGGTCAATGTAACTTTTCTGATCTTTTCTGCATCGCGATAAATGCTGCGAAAATCGATTGCGATAAGTTGCTGAACTACAAGTGAAACAATTAATCGAGCGACCCGCTGCCAGTGATGCCCGCATCGATAAAGTGCCAAGATGCGCCCGAGTTAATCGATAGTTGCTCAGTTACAATCGGACCGCGTCCCACTTGGCTCATGCAATTAATCATCCCGGCCTCAGTTTGCTAACTATCATTAACATAATCCATTGGTGTAATACGCGCGCGATCGTATTCACATTAGAACATAGGAAATCAGGAATATCTTTCGAAAGCTATGCCTCATTAAACCTTCATTCATAACTCGAGCAAGATCTCTCTCTCTCTCTCTCTCTTTCTCTCTCGCACGCGCGCGCGCGCTAAAAATTATTACCTTTCCAATCACGATACATACCAAAGTACTTTTCGAAAGAATCTGAAAGTCAGAAATCTGGAAGTTAAATTTAAATGGATAGAGAAATATTGATCGGTCAAGAGACGAATTTCCAAACCACATAATCTACCACAAACATAATACAATAGCTACCCAATAAATGTAATCTTGGTTTAATAACCAAGTTTGCTGGTTTATTCACGTTATTAGTTTATTCACGATAAACATCGTGTGTCATTATCGTATTCACGTTTCCGATGAAACCTTCGAGCGACATAAACGAGGAAGTAGAAAATCGAGAGCGAAAGAAATCGAAATAATACAGAAAAGGGAGACCTGAAGCGTTCAAATAGAGACAGCGAGTGTCGCTCGTTTACACATCTCGATTTAATACTTTCCGACGATTTGTAATCGGTGACGCGCGATAGCAAACCACAGGGGTATTAACCGCCCATCGTTGAGCTGCCATTAGGTATTAGCTGCTGCCGACATAACAATCTGTACAAGTATCGAAGGTATTTCACCCTCCACCCCACAGGGCTGGCAGACCCGCGGCATACTTAACGAGCCGTCGTCGTCAGTTCGGGTATCCGTTTATGAACATCGCTTCAAGTGGCGCTTAAATCCTCCTCACTCCCTAATAACCCGTTTCGAATTACAGTTACGTATATAGTCTTATCAGAAAAGGATTCAAGTATTGAATCGCGTTTAACGACTATTATGTACGCGACCAGCATAATAATCACTGATAAGAAGGCGAAGATCACTTTTCTCGCTCCGTTCCAAATCGACTTTTGAATACGATTGTTGAAAAATTGCAAAAAGATCACGACCGAACAAAGCTTTTTATTTATAAAACAGTCAAATTGTAGATAGCATTAATCCGCGGACAGAAGCGTGGCGTTGAATAATTTTTCTTCGTTGAATTAATATATAGGTTCAAGGTAAATATGCCTATATCGTGAACTACGTATCGTTAAATTACCGAACTTGCAACGTAGCCCATTCAAAGTTATATCTAGATTTACCTCTTCTTAATAAATCAATAATTAAATGAAATTAAGTGAAATCGATTAATCTCCCATTCAATGAAATTCTTATTGCAAAAAATATCACCCTAGTCAGGAATCGAACTTATTGTTACTCACTTTCCGTGCGAGTTTCTTAACCATTCGACTATTGAGGCATGTGATGATATTTATCGCAATGTTAGATACATAATATGAATAAAGGCTTCGAGTGCCACGTAAAGAATAACAACAAGCAATAATCAAGCTGATATATGTGTTTAAAATAATCAAATCATAGATTAGGCATTTTTATTTTTTTCCGATCCGTGTACAAATTCGCTTAAATCGAGTAACGACGAGCAAGCTGACTAATTATACGATAACGACATCTCCTCTTTAAATGCACGACATTGCACAGTTAGACTGCAATTAGTAGCGCAAAAATCACGCAGTTTTACGAGAGCGCCGCGAGAGATTTTTCTCGCGATACGAAAGACGCTTAACGAGCCACTTTAGTTAACGCGCGCCACTCCTCGCTCGTCCCCTCGGATAACATTTGCGTTGTTTTACGAGAGACCGGAGTCGACCGCGGCTGTCTGGTTGCCTTAAGGTAACACCACATCCGGGCTCTTGCCGGCAAAGTGATACGGCACGGGACGCCGCTGGAAGTCTAGATCTAATTTTCCGACGTTTCGGATTGAATTCACGCGAGCCCCGCCCTGCCAGCCGAAGTTTCTCACTTTTCGCAGGAAAGAAGGCTGTAATCTTAAGTAATGCGCGCGCGGAGCGTAACATAGCTACGATTGCCGGTGAGACGGCAGCGGGCGCCTGCTCTCCGATCCCTCTTGTCGCTCTTACTTTACGAGGCACTAAGCTAAATAACGAATGCTCCGTGAGCAACACCGTTGAATACCCTGGCCAATCGCTCGAAGATTTTACGAAAAGAATTTATATAAAATAAAAATAAGCTGTGGGAAAAGTCGGACAAAAAAGTGTGTGTGTGTGTGTGTGTGTGTGTGTGTGTGTGTGTGTGTGTGTGTGTGTATGTATGTGTGTGTGTATGAGAAATAAAAAATTGGTCTCTCTTGAAAGTAGATTCGTTGAGCAACGTAAAGTCAATGTGCATTAAGCCGCGGTACATTTTTTTCATAATCGTATTTCCATGCTCTAATTAGATGAATTCTGTAGTTACTACTGTCTGACTGTCTAGCATTGTGATATCTCATTTTTTTCTATCTCGTTTTCATATTGCACCGTGTTCTTGTCTATTTCATGTTACTCTTTGTCTTCTGAGGCGGACACAGTTTGCCGCGAGCGGGCAGGCTGGTGATTTATCGTGGCATTCTTTGACAAATCCGATTGGAAATAAAGTCGATGTACGGATATCCTAACTATGTGAGATGTGCGAAAATACAAAAATTTGATGTAAGCTTAGAAAAAGGATGTCCCTCAAATGCTTTGAGGTTTAATGTTTTTAAAATTTTCTCCGATACCTTCATTAAATTGTTAAACTTAATCTGTAATCGATGAAGGATAAATTGCTTTTTATGGAGACAAATGTTCTCCTCATAAAAGCTTTTTCTTTATTTCAGACGGTCGTTTCTTCCCTCCCCCCTCTCTCTCTCTCTCTCTCTCTCTCTCTCTCTGTGCGCGTATATATCAACAGTTAAAACACGACCGTCGCCCTCCGCAAAGGGTGCCGTCTCGCCTCTCGTAACTATATTTCCTCGCTCGTTGCCGAATACGGTAGCACCCTTCGCGCATTGCTTATAATTCCGACTGCATGTCTGATAAAATTTACGTGTACGTATGGAGAGGCGTCGGCTTGCGCGTCGGCATGTGCGTCGTCTTTCTTGAAATCTCGCGTCACTTCTTCAAAGCCATCTGCATAATTCCAGCGCGGGACGGAAACGCACTGATTTAGTCGGGTAATTGAATCGAACATTGTGAAAATGTATATCCCTCATGAATATTTTATTGATGTATGACAATTTGGGATATAACTTGTAGACTTTATTCGTACCATTTGTGAAATTCAATCGGCTTTATTTAACATTAATCACGATTAATGTCTCATTATTAGATACATAATTGTGATAATTTTTTAATGAAATACATTATTATATATCATGTTCTTCATTAAAACTAACATTAACATTAACTAACTAACATTAAAATTTTTGTCATTAACTTTAATTATGCATGATATATAATTTTAACATGGCGTTAAATGATATCGATTCAATTCAAAGCTTAGATCATTTTTTTCTTAACGCATCTTATTCTTCTATATAGCATTTTATGTATAGAATGTATAAGAAAAGCATAATTGTTTTGTTTTATTCGCTTACATATTGTTAACTATTATTGAACAATGAGTGGTTTCTCAATTATATTACGTGCGTGATTATGTTAAATGGAACTGTGTGCATACATATGGGTTAATAATGATCCTGTGGTTCGAATCTGGCTAACGAGCGATAATGAATTTCCACGAACGTGTTCTTTGCGAATGCGTTTGCCCTATGATGCACTTTGTAAATCGAAATAATTCCGCACTCTTGTTTATTATTTTCGTATCGTGATTAGAATATCAAATTTCTATACTTTTTATTTTCATGCTTTTAATTTCGGAATCGTAACAACGTTCCCATATATTCCAGATGTAGCAATAACGATTGCTGCATGCACAAAATTTTTTTACATTCTATTTAACAAAAACAAGAAAAGCGAAATCCATGGCGAAATGGATATATTCAAAGTTTTTTTTCTGTAAGCTTTTGAAATAGCAAAATTTCTCGAGAGAAAAATTTATTACGAAGAAATAATATAAAGATAAAGTCACGATAAAGTCATCGGCTCTGAAAGCAGAGATTGTCCGATCAACGAGACGTAAATTCATTCACCAAATTGCGGCGAATTGCAGACTGATACAGTCATTCGCAGGCGCATAATAATTAATTTACGACGGACGGGAGGGCGTGGGGGAAGGGAGTTTCATAATTCAGTGGCGACACGTACGAGTTTACGCGCTCGGGCACGTGTCTCGCCGTGCTCGTCATCGTCGTCGCCACGTTAGGTGGTAGGTACGCAGTTTGCATTCGTCGGGGCTGTTTCTCGAGCGGCACGGCGCAGCGGCGGCTTGCCAGACAACTCGGTTATAACGATTGAAGTTTCGTCGTGGCGTGGATTACATCCTCGTAATTGCGCGCACACCTCGCGTCTTCGCGTCTTACGCGACGAGGACGGGCAGGCGGAGGGGCGGGAGGGAGAGGGAGGAGGACGGCGTCGCGCGAGAGGGACTTCCTTTAAATCGGGGGGGGGAGTGAAACGAGAATTGAGGGGAAGTACGGCGTGTAGGATATGGAGGAGCGGAGGAAATGGGAAGGAGGTCTTTGCACTCGTACTGACGTCTCGTGGCTTGACGTACGACCACCGACAAAAGTCCCCGACGCAGACATTCGGGGTTGATCCTCCTCCTCGATTCTACACCGCGCGCTCTCCTGTCTTCTCACTCGGGAATTATAACGCGATAGCGCCTCCGCGTGCTGATAAGCGTCGAATGCGTAGTTACTGCGAAGCGCTTTGTCGCAGAGGATTATTTTACACCTTGCGGAGGAAAATGCCCTCATATATTCAACATTTTGATGATATCCCGGTGTTAGCCAGGTTACTTTCAAACAATGAGTCATACCAAAGTTGATGTATAGCGTATAATTTACGCTGACATTTCAACAATCTGCATTCGAGAATTATTTTTCGAATTTATCGGAATTATCAATAAATTCTTGTTCCATGATTCATAAAATTGCATTAATTAAAGTTATTATTATGCAAAATAGAGATATTATATATTTCATCTCTTCTTATTGTTATATTAAAATTGTATCTTTATATAAATAGCAAATAAATGTGTGAAAACACGTTAATTGAGACGCGATATCTGATGGATGGAAAAATAATTTTCTTTCTATTATGAAAAAGGAAGAGATCGAAAAATAGATTGGTTTTATAAAAAATTGATTAGAATTGTATCTAATGAGTTGCTGACATTGTGACATTTTTCCAAGTGCACTTATTATATATTTAAAATATATAAATTAAACGATTAAAATTTTAGCGGGCGCAATTTTTGGATACGTGACTCACGTGTAACTATAATTCATATGCATGATTGTTAGGCTTCGTGGCGGATAATAATCGCGCGGACTGTTAGTTATGATGTTTGATGCTACCGTGCGCCGTTAATTAACGAATAACCCACCACCGGCATCCGTACTGGCAACGACAGCAGGTTGCACGACTATAATATGTTACCGGTGTCGAGCTAAAGTATAGAAGAGCAAGAAACGCTTGCGAAATTTAGAGACACTCACATTATTCGACTGTTTCACGACTTTGTAATCTACTAACTTATGAAAAAGGAAGAAATCGAAAAATAGATTGGTTTTATAAAAAATTGATTAGAATTGTATCTAATGAGTTGCTGACATTGTGACATTTTTCCAAGTGCACTTATTATATATTTAAAATATATAAATTAAACGATTAAAATTTTAGCGGGCGCAATTTTTGGATACGTGACTCACGTGTAACTATAATTCATATGCATGATTGTTAGGCTTCGTGGCGGATAATAATCGCGCGGACTGTTAGTTATGATGTTTGATGCTACCGTGCGCCGTTAATTAACGAATAACCCACCACCGGCATCCGTACTGGCAACGACAGCAGGTTGCACGACTATAATATGTTACCGGTGTCGAGCTAAAGTATAGAAGAGCAAGAAACGCTTGCGAAATTTAGAGACACTCACATTATTCGACTGTTTCACGACTTTGTAATCTACTAACTTATGAAAAAGGAAGAAATCGAAAAATAGATTGGTTTTATAAAAAATTGATTAGAATTGTATCTAATGAGTTGCTGACATTGTGACATTTTTCCAAGTGCACTTGTTCAATCAATTTCATAAGTCCGTTGAAGAGAAATCTGTTATTTTCATTAATTTCGCAATTTTATTTGCATCTATCTGCCACGTAAAAACTAGTTATCTCAAATACCATCTCCGTGGTAGTACCGTGTGCTGCGACATGGGAAATAAAGCGAGCCGTATGTCATTGCTCTGATTCGCTTGTTATCAACGTCGCATATCAGATGAACCACATTCGCGATGCCGTATTGTATTAATGGAAAAAAATATGCTCCTCGCGGTGAAGTGTATTACGGCTTGGTAGGAAGAATAATAGAAGTTAGAAATATAATTACAGCTTTGACCATACGTGTCTCGTATTCCCTCTCATGTCATCATCACGAAATTCGTATAAAACGTTAATTAAAATTCGCGTAGCCAGTTGTGAAAACTTAGCGTGGACGGGTCGCGCAAAATAATATTTAGACTTGGACAGTTTCATATCCGGGACTATAAACAATCTGTAAAAAAAAATTGTTATGTATTCATATTAAGTATAATGCGAATTTTTATAATGGTTGGAAAAAGCAAAAACGCAAAAAATAGAGATATAGTTACGGTTTCAATTATCGTGAAATGAAATAATATTATAAAGCAAACTTTGACTCGTCGTTATTCGTTGAATTTAAATCATGATATTTATTCATTAATGCTAATCTCAAATCTGTTTTCTTCAGACAGGTATGCTATCCATTGTTGTTCCACCTGATTTTGATCCCGAAGCAACATCGAGCGACATGATGGTCGGAGAGGGCGGTCAGGTGAATATCATTCTCTAATTTATGATGCTACAATTTTAATTTTTAATTATAAAAAGAAGTTTGTATTTATTATAACAATTATTACTATAATTATAGTAACAAAAGAAACAAACAATCTCGTTTTTATATTACTGTTCTTTGGAGTATTTCGATTAAATGTCTCTTTCGATTGAAATTAATTTTCATTTGAATCTCGAAGATTCCATCTGCATGCGAAAATAAATTTACGAATAAATATGGCAAAGGAAAGATACGCTATGGTGCAACTAGGCCGAGGGTCGTTAAATAACTTACTTTATATAGAGGTCATCATAAATAAACGTCGGTTTATTACTTACAAATATACTGATTTACATGTGTAATAAATTATCAAGGCAACGTTATATTCCGTGTGATTCATATCGAAGAAATTTATATCGGAAAACGGCAGTACAACACAAATACAGCGGCTCGCGTCTAAATCTACAAATTACTTGTAATTTCATCATCGTTAATAATTCCTTAATTACTAGTAAGATGCTTAAATTGCCGGGAAGTTTACGATGAGATACCGATATTGAATTAAAAGTTCTATTAACTTCGAGTTAAAACGTACTTGCCTTACATCTACGTACACTGACATATATAAACTAATTTTCACATTTAGGAAGATACCGACTATAATTAATATTTATACCCCAAATACACCAAAAATAAATGTAACGCAATATGTTTTGTGTCGTAGATTCCGTAACTGCAACTTGCAACACCTGTTGCAAGTGTTATCTCAATATCACGCTGTTATAAAACTAACTCGTAATTATTATTAAACGTCTTTCCATTATTCAATTGATAATCGGAATTTTATGATCTCACGCACTTTAGATCTGAAAAGAGCACGCTGTTTCGGCGATTAAGACTTATTAATCTTTAAAGGAATAAATATATATATATATATGTGTGTGTATATCGCCGTGTGTCTCGCATGTACGACTCATAATAAATTTTGTGTGTAATTACTCGTAAATAATTTGTTTAATCCGGCAGTTTTTCACGTGTAATTGTGAGAATGCAATCTGGGACATGTGTGCTACGGCCAGTCTCGGCGTTCGTGCCGGATGCTGTAAGTAAGCCATCAGTGGAAATAAGTGACCTGTTGCTCACAATTCATATTCCGTGGCAGTCGTGCAATTTGTGCGAATACCTCATCTCATCCTCGCGTTTTTCCGCGCGCATGGCCGACGGTGTCGCTCGGCTAAAGAATATTGCGCTTCCCTCGGAACGTCTGACAGGACGCTTTTACGAAGACGCGACAGCCCCACGGAGCTACCATCATGGACCATTTTAAACTTTGAAATTATACCGGCGCGCATAGCAAGCCTTCCTATTATAAGCTATCGCAGTTGAAAATACTGAAAATTGTCTACTGTCAGTTTGATAAGTTACTTTCCATCTCTTTTGACGAGTTTGTTGAGGCACATGTTATGTATTCGTACCATTGTTACAATATAATTGTATATCATATTGTGCTTGACAGATAATTTGTGTACTTGGAAAATTCTATAATCACATTACAAGTTTCCACTTTTCTGGTGAAACTGAACGACGAATTAAATGACAAAATTTTTATCGTCATAAGTTACATTAGCTTTCATTTATTAAAATGTTATTTACATAATGTACTATAAAATGTTGTTTTATAAAAATTCTTAAGTTAGTTGCCGATTAATTTTTTTTTTTTTAAGTGTCGAAGCATCCAAACCGTAAAAGAATAAAGAAGAAAGATTTTTCGTGTAACGAACTTTAAATCAAACAGATTTACAGAATACAAAATTACATTCTTTAATTACTCTTAAATAAAATTTACTTTAGGAAAATTTTAATTCACCACAAAAATAAATGATTCAAAAGATCGGAAAACTACATTTAGTCGAAATCCTCCTATTTTCACTACGAAGAAGTTAATCCAAAGTTGAAAAAAAAAAGATAAAAAAAAAATACATTATTTTTAAACACTTTGTTTATAGTCTACGTAAAGATATCTACAAATTAAAAAGAATAGCGCGAAAAGCTATTTCATTTCACTGATTTGATTAGTTTCTGATCAATTTCTGCTTTAATTTGATTTTAATTTGACAACTTTAATAATAAATTTAAAAGACAGCTGCCAATCGATGTAACGCGATTGTTCAAAAAGATTGGAACTTCCGTTGACCTGGAGTGTTAGAAAAACTTGATAAAAATTGAAACTTCAATCGAAATTCTGGTTTGCGCATCCGTTTTCTGACGGTGCAAGCCGAATCCATCCATAAATAAGTAATTTTGTCAGACCATAACTGTGTTATTAACAGCGCGTCTCTGGTGTGTTCACCAAACCGCAGCAAAAATGAAAAAGAATCCAGAAAGAACCTATTATTCACGGAGATTTTTTGCGTATTCTATTTTGTCCCGCAAAAACACATCACTTCATATTATCTTGGGTAGTTTAATGTACGAGATTTCAATTTTTAAATTCGCTTTCTTTTAACAATAAGAGATATCACATGTAGGACGTCTATCCTCGGCCTAGTTGCGGTCTCGATTTAACATTAATAGAACTCCCGGCAAAATGCGAGATTTTCTCTTCGTATAGCTTCTTCAAAATCTCGTGGGGTTCTACTCTACAAAGAATGTTTAATATCTTGCTGAGATTTAATATCTTGTACGCGTCAAATTATAAATATATAAATGCTTTCAATACATTTTCAATTAATATGTTCGTTTATTTCTCAAAAAATATGATATAGATTTAATTTTAAAAATCTGGTTGAAATCGATATACTCTGTATTAATTTATATTTGCATCTCGATGAAATCAGTAATATTTCAAACCTTATCAGGTCAGCTACTATTATCAATAACATGATATTGTAAAGTAAACGTGTTAATAACGAATTGATTAGTTTATACTTTTATGTTTATTTTTTTAATTTTCATGAAATAATTTCGATAAATCGCATCATTATAGGATATTACTAAAGATTTATCCAAATATTACTGTTTAATTTTATATATATGCTTATAAATTTTAAACGTCGATAAAAAAGTTATTTGAAAAAGTTAATGGATCCGCACTTATTTTATGCTTTTTTTGAGAGTAGCTACGCAAAATACACGATATGTGCAATAACTTACGTTATATCTCGGGAACGTGCTAACACGATGTTCATCCAAAAATGTCACGGATATTGCAAGCTAGCGGGCGGCGTGTCAGTAGAACGCAAGCCAACAACAGTATGCTGCGACACGTGTCGTGTCGTTAATTGTCAACATGCCGTTTATATTTTCCATTGTAGAGCACGCAGATATTCATTTCACGTACGTGTTTCGCAACTCGTAACTCCGCTGCTGCCGTTCATTTCGCATATTCGTGTAACATTGTAACTGATGAGAATCGGACCGATATTCATAATTGATGGCCCTAAATGCAGTAACACATGCTGCAGAGCGACAATTTATGAAAATCGACTTGATTTGATCGTGTCTGACCTCGTTTCGTCAAAAATAGCTTCGGATCACTTCGGATTATTAAAGCCACCCAGAAGCGAAAATATCACTAAACGGAAGCTCCGTTAACGAGAATTGGAAGAGGTTCGATAAAATCGGTGAGCGTGACAGAACGGGTAACTGTTAAAAATCGCTCTCGTATCCCTCTCGGTGCCGGATATTTCATGCCTCTTGCGACCATAGATTCATTTTCCGCTCGAGTATCCGCGCGAGCCACCATTGTTCCGGACAAGCGTCCTCGCGCGCGTACGTGTTTTACATAGAGAGACGGGAACCCGTGCACGCACGCGCGCGTCTCTCTCTCTCTC